TCTCAGAATTATTAATTTCCTTCTTCAAGTGATGCTTATCTTCCCTACCTACTCTCCCAGTCCCCGGAAGAATATACTGTGCACCCGCCCACGCACGCATTCGCTCGCTTGAGTCGCTTCACGTGACGCAGGAGTCAAAAAACGGAAAGGCAGAGGCTGCAGCATTTCATCGTTTAGCTAGAAAAATATGGTATGCGGGCCAGGGAGCTGTCGGGGAGCCCGAAACAGGAATCCGGAGGTTGTAGAATTTTGTCATTTAGCTAAAAAATGGTGTGCGGGCCAGGGAGCTGACGGATGCATGTGCGGAGGAGCGTAGCTGAATCCGATCGGGGACGAGACACGATAGTTATGGCCCTGGGGGCAACATGGACTTGTCTCTGCACGAAATTGAATCGCATGCGCCTCTCTCTCTCTCTCTGCGGAGGAGCGTAGCTGAATCCAATCGGGGACGGGACGCGATAGTTATGGCCCTGGGAGCAACATGGGCTTGTCTCTGCACGAAATTGAATCGCATGCGCCTCTCTCTCTCTCTGGGGCAACAGAGGTCTGGGAGGAATGAAATCACATGGCGAAGGCATCACCGGTCACATGATGGTGGCACGGGGAAGACACAAGGAGACAGTGACCTTCACAGAGCCACAAGCTAAAGATGTCTTTCTCATTTTGTTTCCAACCCATGATACAGTGACCACAAACATGTCTGCGCTCACCAATATGGGCCTAAAACATAGAGTGAATTACACAAAATTATGAGTATTGTGGCATTTATAACACAAAACTACAAGTATTGTGGCTAGTAACGCAAAACTATAAGTTCTGTGCATATTTGTAACACAAAACCACCCACATGTCAGTGAGACAATCATTCTCTCTGCATGTAGGTCACCCGGGTTTGATTGTCTCACTCACATGTGGGCCACGCGGGTTTTGTGTTACAAATGTGCACAAAACTTGTAGTTTTGTGTTACTAGCCACAATACTTGTAGTTTTGTATTACAGATGCCACAACACTCATAGTTTTGTGTAGTTCACTCAAACATACAACCCCATGAGTCAGTGGAAGCGGGTTAACACGTTATATAATAATCTCTTGCTACAGGACCTGCCTTGACAATTGTAGTTGCAGTTATATCTCTTGTTGAGTGTGGACCAGGGTTCACAAATGCACGCATTTCGACCGATTCGAGTCGGTTCGTATTCAGAAACCAGTCGCATTTCGATCAAATTCTAATTTAAAATTTGAAAATTTGATGAAATTCGACCGAATTTTGATCGAATTCTTTGGTTTTCGAAGAATGCGCTGGGGTTCGCATTCCGACCTTCGAACGGTTTTGTAAACCCTGGTGTGGACATGCATTCTGGAATGCAGCTGACAGCCTGTATGCGACTAAAAATGTTTGTACAGATTCTACAATTAGGCATGCAGATGGAGGCATGAGGAACTTGACATCAAAACACTCTAGTGACCTTTAGGCTTTAGCAAACCCGTTCTTTGAATTATACTATTAAACAATAATTCATTTATTTTTATTGGAATATTGTTTTTAGCTATGCTGTTTTGACTTTGATCTAATATGTCATTGAGCGTGATTTTAGGGTTCAAATTTTATTTGTTGCTATTAAGTGAAAATTCCCGACTTAACTTGTATTTTGCAGGATCACTTGCTAGGATTTTCAGCTTCAAAAACTGTTTTAGTATATGTTACCCATCCAGCCAGCAGGCGCGCGCGGCCCATCTGGCCTGACGCGTGGGCGCGTGGCCCAGGCAGCGACGCAGGTCACAGCCCAGCAACCATGCACGCAGGTGGGCTTGCGGCTTGCCTGATTGCTTCCGTCCCCAGCCTCCGCGAAGAAAAAGCGACGAACCCAGTCGCCTGTCTCACGCAGTCAGTCGGTCCGCGACTCAAGCCACACGTCGCGTCGCGGCTCTGATCCTCCCGTCCTCCACCGCGTCTGCTGTCCAAGGCCACCATTGGCGTCGAGTTCCAGACTAGCACCCTCCGGATCGGCGCGCGCACCGTCAACGCACAGATCTGGGACATCACCGCTAGGAAAGGTTGGTAACCAATCATCCCGTCCATGATCCATCAATCCCTTTTTCATCCATCCTCTTAGGCTGTTTGAGCATCTGTTGGACACCAGATAATGCAAAAAAATGCCTTCTTGATGCAAGAATAGATGGTGTCGTGTGCATCAGTGCGTCTGTTGTTGATTCTCTTGCTTCAGATTGTCTTCAGTTTTAGGGTTCGAAATTTGGGTTTTTGCAAACTGCAAATCAGAAGGACAGGAGGAGAATTGCACTCTGCAAAGGAATGAAGGACTAACTGAGACGAGATGTGAGAACTAACAAGGGTGGATCTGGGCCTAAGGCAACTAGGGCCATGGCCACAGGCACGGCCCAGATTACCAAACGGCACCCCGTCTAATTTTCTTAGGCCCAGACAAGAATCCCATGGGCCGGACCCGGGTGGAGGCAGACGCAGCCCACCAGTGCACCGTTCCATTCGACGCGTCGTCAGTCTCTCGCTCGCGTACCCTAGCTAGCCGCCGTCTCTCTCTCTCTCGCCGTCGACCCGTCGTGCGCCTCCCATCCCCGCAAGCTCCGCGCCTCCACCCGACCACCATTGCCGGCGTTCCACATTCGTCCTCCGCCCCTCAAGACTCATGTGCGCGTTGCGCCGCTCGGCTGCCGCGCGTCTGACACCAGACGCGGCCGGTGTCCTGCGGCCGTGTTCGCTGTCTGCCCGAGCACCGAGCACATTGTGCCCGCCCTATGGATCCCGATCCCGACCCGTATAGGCCGGAGCTCCCCATGGACCATGCAAGCGTGCAGCACTGCAGCAGCATTGCAGAGCTCTCCTCCGTTGGCATTGTAGCAGTATTGGCAAGAATTAGGTAATAATTTTCACTCTACGTAATTGGATTTAAATCCGAAATCGTAGAATGAGCCAATTAAGAACCAATTGCACGCTGAGATATGAAACCATTTGTATTGCATCTTCTAGAATCACATAACGAATGGGTCCAATACGCTATCTCTTTATATCATGTGCTATCTTCTATAAAGACATGAAAAACTAGGATGAACCAATGGATGACCCAAATCTTCGTTAATTAGGCATGTTTGTTATATGTTTTTGCATGCTTTTATCTATTTTGTTATTCAGGGAGTTGAAGTATCTTATCAATTGGGCATGTGCATCTTACTTTAGTTATAGCTTGATGTGTGACCCGGCATGAGTCGTTTAACTCTTTAGTTTTGGGCCCTGGCCTCGGCGGGATCCTAGCTCCGCCACAATTCCGAATATAATGTCAAGTATGCTTACGGATGCTTGATGCCGACGGTGTACTAGAATCCGAAGGAAAAACTCACATGGCCTGGCGATTAGCCGCATGCTACCATGCCTGTGTATTAATTAGTACTGCCGGGTATGGGTAATACAAGTTGATCACATTCTGTTGGTAAATCCCGTAACATCTACAGAGTGATAACCACTCGAAGAATAGTCATAGACGTGCTTGGTGATTTAACATGGGGTAGTTTATAGAAACTTGGAATTGTTCTTTGTGAATAAGTCATAAGGAATGCAAATGCAACCTGCTAGCCATTCCCTTGTAGTAAACTTGCATTAACAATTGCATTTTCCATCACTGCTCGCTTAAAGCAATAATCAATAGTAATCGTCGGTCAACCATATACTCTGCATGTGATTGATTGTTTTGTAAACTGTGACCATATGGTATAATTCAAGCCTTTTTTTTAGTCAATTATTCATGTATATGGTTGATGTTCATCAACCCTATGAATGTTCCTAGATACGCTAATGCTAATGTTTATTACAACATAAACTAGTGATAACAATTCAATCCTGGTAAACTTGCGTGTTAGGTTTGGCCTGGAGAAAAATGTCTCATAACCTTTTAATTGTGTTGTGACGTGCCGGATTCAATATAAGAATCTCACATTATGTGCCTTCTGTTCCCTTCTTTTCAGGTTGAGCTCTATCTGTTCCATACTTAATCTTCCACAAGGACCAAAATTGCAGCCACGCTACTTGGCCATACTAATTGTCGGTTGTGTGGTAGGGCTCCCGCTTCTCTAATCTGTTCCCTGTTTCTGGGGGAGAAAAGCAGTTTTTTTTCCTTTACTACAGTTTCTTTGTATCAGTTAAGGGGCTGTATCCCATCAATGTTCTATTATTCCAAAGAAAATTCGACCGTAAATTTATGGAAGGTTTTGGAGTCTGCAGCTTTTCCACAACTTAAGAACTCTCACCTATACCCTTTTTCCACGCCATAGGTAGGCCTTCTCAATAATGCAAGTTTGTATTAGGAAGGAGCTTATGCACGGCTGGACTTAGTCTATTCGATTTTTTTTCCTAATTTCCCCTCAAGGGTATGCCACAATTGTCTATTACAACAGTCCAGCCATGCAGGCTTCAAGTTCTAATCATAATCTGGTGCCTATATATAGGTCTCAACTCATAACCTATTCAATTGGGTGCTATTGAAACTGCGCATAATGTATGTGAGCCATTCAGAAGAATGTAAAGTACACAAGTGTTTGAATTTATGCTGTGCCCTTTTAATCTTGTATCGTTGGATTTGTCATGCATATTTACATCTAGATAGGCTCACATGTGTTAACTAAGTGTAACTCCAGGTTGTTGCTCCACGGCCATGGTTTTAATGACGACATTACCCTTTGAACCTTTCAAATGTCATTTTAGTTTAGTTAGATTTGCTCTCCCCACTTTACTTTTAATGAAGTCTCTTATTTTGTTTTCTTAGAGATCTCCTTATGTATGCCAGTGCATATCAAAGTTGAAAACATTGTCTTTGTTGTAGCAGCAACTTATACAATTTGTGGAAACCTTATCTGTTGAAACTAACACTCTTCTTCAGTTGAGCTATCACTTTTGTGTTAAGCTTGTAGCATTAACAATTAAGTTCTACCTTTTTGAATTTGTTGTTTTGTATTCAGAAGCTATTACATTATCATGAAGGAACCACTATTGGACCATGAATCTTCTTCCTTATCTGAAGCAAAAAGAAGTAGATCACTTTTCGCAGATGTTGGATTGTTTAGTAATATCACTTTTTCTTGGATGGGTCCTTTACTTGATCTTGGGAAGAGGAAAACACTAGACCTTAATGATGTGCCATTCTTGGATGACTGTGACAGTGTCCATGGAATCATCCCTAAGTTTCGTTCAAAGATTGCCTCGATTTCTGCTGCAGGGCAGTACAATGATGTTACAACAGTTAAGCTAGCCAAAGCTCTTGTGCTCACAACATGGAAACTAATCATTGTCACTGCAGTTTGTGCCCTACTCCGTACTGTTACTTCATATGTTGGTCCCTATCTGATTGAGTTCTTTGTTGGCTACCTAAATGAAAGCCCACGACCTACTAACAAGGGATACCTTTTGGTTTTGGCATTTGTTGTTGCACAGTTCATGGAAAGTCTCTCGTCAAGGCATTTGCTCTTCAGATCTCAGCAATTAGGTGTGCGTGTGCGTTCAGCTCTTATTGCTATTATTTACCAAAAGGGTCTTGCCCTCTCCAGTCAGTCCAGGCAAAGTAGCTCAAGTGGAGAGCTGATCAATGTTGTGAGCCTTGATGCTGAGCGCGTAGGAGATTTCAATTGGTCTATGCACGAGCTTTGGCTGGTCCCTGTACAAATTAGTCTTGCAATGGTTATCTTATACTCTACTCTTGGCTTGGCAGCATTTGCTGCCCTTGCTGCCACTCTTTTGACAATGTTGGCTAATATACCTTTGGGGAAGATTGAGCAAAATTACCAAGAGAAAACTATGACTGCCAAGGATGCTATAATGAGCGCTATGTCTGAGATATTACAGAACATGCACATTCTCAAGCTTCAAGGTTGGGAATTGGTTTTCTTCTCCAAGGTAAAAGAGTTGAGGAAGGTTGAGATGAACTGGATAAAGAAATATGTCTACACCTCGTCAATGCTTATATCAGTCTTTTTTGGTGCTCCTGCATTTGTTGCTATGATCACATTTGGAACTTGCATGCTTTTAGGCATTCCATTAGAAACAGGGAAAGTATTATCTGCTCTGGCAACATTTAGGCAGTTGCAAGGTCCTATACACAGTCTTCCGGACACAATCTCGTCAGTCATTCAAACAAAAGTATCACTTGACAGGATATGCTCATTTCTATGCCTTGAGGAATTAGCGAGTGATGTCGTAACTAAGCTTCCAAGTGGTAGCACTGATATATCCGTTGAGGTAAGGAATGGTCACTTCTCTTGGGATACATCTTCTCAGGTGCCTACTCTCCAAGACCTGAACTTTCGTGTACAGCAAGGAATGAGAGTTGCTATTTGTGGAACTGTTGGATCTGGTAAATCAAGCTTACTGTCATGCATACTTGGCGAGATACCAAAGTTATCTGGGGAGGTTCAAACTTGTGGCCGAATTGCTTGTGTAGCCAATCACCATGGATACAAAGTGGGACAATTGAAGAAAATATACTTTTCGGCACACAAATGAATAGGGAAAGATACAAAAAGGTCCTTGAAGCATGCTCTTTTACAAATGATTTGGATATATTGCCTTTGGGTGACCAAACAGTTATAGGAGAGAGAGGAATCAACCTAAGTGGCGGACAAAAACAGAGGATACAAATTGCCCGTGCTTTGTATCAAGATGCTGATATCTTTCTATTTGATGATCCATTTAGTGCGGTTGATGTTCGTACTGGACTGCACTTATTCAAGGTATGTTTTGACATTTCATACATTCTATTGCTAAAACTCATAGCCACTTAATAGTCCTGATTGTATAAAATAATTTTTGTAGGTCAAAATGTTGCAATATTCATGTTTACTTCTTTCCCTAATTTTTTTCTGGTTCAATATTTGTTTTAATTTTTTAGCACTTAAGCTATTTTATTATTCTTGCAAAGTTATCCAAATTTGAAAATAAGTAAGAGCTGTTTTCTTTTTGTTTTGGTTAATACAGCTGCCAAATACGTAAGAACTAGACTTTGGCTCGACTCAGTAGCAATGAATATAGATAAGATGATGCTTAAAGAAAGTATGCATTCTGGACAAAGCTATTACCTCCATATCCGCCAGTCCGCTGTTTTACCATCCCTCTCTCCTGTCGGATCTGGCCACATGGACTTCTTCTGCCCTGCCACTGTGGACTTGATTCCGCCATCTTCCCGCTGTCGCGCCGTCAGGTTTCGCTGTTGCTGAACCCCACTGGCCACCGCTCATTGCCTTCTCGTGTGCTGAAAAGAGGTGAACCGTCACGTGGGGTGCAGACGCAGATTTCTTCGTCATCGTTACGTGCCGTGTAGCCGAATTTGGAAAACAGAACCGTCAAAAAAGAAATGTTGCATCATTCATGGGTGCATGAAGACATTCAGGATCATTTCATTGCGTCCATTTAACAAAATACATGGGCAGCCCATCATGAACCATTTCATCCCATTCATTTTAATTCTTCAAACCAAACACACCTTAAATTGAGCACTAAATCTTATCTCTAACGAATCTCTCATTTAAACTAATGTATCTCTTATGCTCACTTGGAAACCAAGTAAAAGATATCTGGCTTTTCTCTAAGATGGGTTTGGTATGTTTGTCGCCGTGCGTGCCAACATGACAATAGGAGTATGTCTTATTTTCTACCATAGTTTGCCTTTCCAAACTATGTGCCATCTCTCCAATTAATACTATATATCAATAAGCACTTTTATAGGGACATCTGGTTACAAATATTGCATAGAAAAACCAAAACTAGTATTGGCAAACCAAAACCAACTTGCTTAAATGAACATCTATTTTAGGCCAGGGGCAGTAGCTTATTTTGAATTCATCTTGTCTAGGTACCAAAAATTGGGTTTTAGAGGACTGAGAAACACTAGAGTCTCCTTTCACACTTTTGATTATGTTAAACAATTCCTATATTTTGATTGGCTGTTAGCTATGCAGTTTTGACTTTAATTAATTTGTCCTTGAGCGTGATTTTAGGGTTCAAAAGATTATGTGCTGATATTAAGTGATTTTTACCGGCTGTAACTTGTATTTTGCAGGAGTGCTTGCTAGGATTTTTAGCTTCAACTGATGTTATCCTGGTAAGCTGGCAAATATCTAGTCTTTTCTTTTACGTTACACAAAACAAATTTTCCACTTTTCTAGTTCCTCTCCTCATTTTTCAGGTTGAGAGATGGAAAAATAGCACAGTCAGGGGATTACACTGAAATTCTTAAATCTGGAGAAGAGCTCATGGAATTAGTTGTATCCCACAAAGATGCCTTATCAACTCTGGACATGCTGGAGTGCCCTAGTGGCAATTTTGATAGTACATATCATCCTGGTGGTAATGGAAGCACCCTATTCATAGCAGAGGATAAAAAGGATGATAACAATGAAGAAGAAGAATTGTTCAAAATGGTCAACTGGTAGAAGAAGAGAGGGAGAAAGGCCAGGTTGGATTTATTGTCTACTGGAAATATATTACGATGGCATATAATGGAGCACTAGTGCCACTTATTTTGCTAGCTCAGATCATTTTCCAAGTTCTTCAAATTGGAAGCAATTTCTGGATGGCTTGGGCAGCTCCAGTATCTAAAGATGTGGATCCTCCAGTGAGTAGCTTGCTGATGGTAAATGTATATGTTGCATTAGCACTTGTTAGCTCATTGTTCATCTTCATACGATCACATTTTCTTGTCATGGCTGGATGTAAGACTGCTACTATTCTATTTGAAAAGATGCACGAGTGCATATTCCGAGCTCCAATGTCTTTCTTTGACTCCACTCCTAGTGGGCGTATCTTGAATAGAGTAAGCAATTACATTCAGCATGTTATTTTTAACTGCATATGGAATTAGCGTGTCCTTGGACTGCTATTTGTTTTTTGTTGTGTTAATGCTGAAAGTTGAAACAAATTGTAGGCTTCCACTGATCAAAGCACAGTGGATACCAGAATTTTTGACCTGATGGGCTATCTTCTATTTCCTGCCATTGAGATTATAGGAACAATTATTCTAATGTCACAGATTGCTTGGCCAGTCGTCGTAATTTTTATCCCCATTATTGTTGCGTCGCTGTGGTATCAGGTAATTTTTATATAGTTTATATATTAATTTTCTATTTTTTATAATTAGCGGTGCCAGTTTCTCATTGATTGCAATTATGTGTTTTTTCTGGGGGACTTAACTTACATGAGTCAAGGATCTAAAAGTGCATATAAAATTACGGACTTAGGTCGCAATGCCCATTTGTGTTGGATAGATTAGTAATAGTTCAGTCAAGATATTCTTCTACCTTATGATATTCATTAAGTTGAATCTCAGAATTATTATTATGTGTTTTGCGTTTATTATTTGGCCCCTAATCATCATACACTTTCCCCACTTTTAGCAATATTACATAGATGCTGCTAGAGAGTTGCAAAGGTTGATTGGAGTTTGCAGAGCTCCCGTGATGCAACATTTTACTGAATCAATAGTTGGCTCAAATATCATTAGATGCTTTCAAAAGGAAAGACAATTTATCAGTTCTATTGGACATTTGATGGATAATTTATCTCGACCAAGTTTATATAATGCTGCTGCGATGGAATGGCTGTGCTTTCGCTTGGATATTCTTTCATCCTTCATTTTTTCCTTCACATTGATACTTCTGGTCTCCTCGTCAACAGCTCTAATCGACCCAAGTAAGTAAATCGGGCTTTTTTTAGCAAGATTAAATTTGTTCTTAGTCTCGACTAACATCCTTGATAATATTTTTTGCACAGAGACTGCTGGTCTTGCAGTCACTTATGGACTAAGTCTCAATATGCTACAAGGGTGGGCTATTGCTGTCCTCTGCAGTTTGGAAAATCGAATGATATCTGTGGAAAGAATGTTGCAGTATATGAACATTCCTTCTGAACCACCACTTACAATATCAGAAAGTAGACCAAATTGCCAGTGGCCAACAAAGGGTGAAATTGAGCTTCGTAACCTCCACGTTTGTCTCTTCAACTTTATGCTACATATATTCAGTTTGTATATATGTTGCTGTACTTATATCAGTATTTATGGAACTTCCAAAATTTTGTGGGATAGTTTCCGGGATAGTAATGCTGACTGTTTTAAAAAAAAAGACTTTCATTACAAGGCATTGTTTAGTATTTTTGATGTTGTTCCTTCTGTTAACAGAATGTTGCTGCCCTTATTCTTAATATACTCTCAGAATATTCTAGAAAACTATCCTGCTTAAGGTGGAAAACAAATATCACCTTATACGGACTGCTCTAGTTAATTGCCTTTTTCTCTAAGTGCCTATATGTGATCCAGGTACGGTATGCACCACAATTGCCTTTTGTTTTGAAAGGTCTGACATGCACCTTACCAGGAGGAAAGAAGACAGGTATTGTTGGAAGAACAGGTTGTGGCAAGTCAACCTTGATTCAAGCACTGTTCCGCATTGTGGACCCATGTATTGGGCAGGTGTTGATAGATGGCATTGACATCTGCACCATTGGACTGCATGACCTCCGGACAAGATTGAGCATCATTCCACAAGATCCTGTTATGTTTGAGGGGACCCTGCGAAGCAATATTGACCCTCTGGGGGAGTATAGTGATGAGCAAATCTGGGAGGTACATTTTAATTGTTAACTTTTTTTCTTGTTCTCAACGCTTCCTTTGTGTATTACATATTTTTTTATTACAACGTTCGTTTGTGCTATTTGGTGGCTAAATTATTGTATGTATGTGTTCTCTAGGCATTGGATTCCTGTCATCTTGGGGATGAAGTTAGAAAGAATGAGCTTAAGCTTGATTCTACAGGTTTGATATCTGGCAGAAGGTCCCGAGACACTGCTCCATGATTGTCAAAACCATAACAAGTTCTTTGACCTTTGAAATGCAGTGATCGGAAATGGCAAAAACTGGAGCGCAGGTCAGCGTCAACTTGTCTGTTTGGGAAGGGTGATTTTAAAAAGGAGAAAGATCTTAGTTTTGGATGAAGCAACTTCTTCTGTGGATCCAATAACAGACAATTTGATTCAAAAAACCTTAAAACATCAATTTCCCGAATGCGCAGTGATTACAATAGCGCATCGTATTACATCAGTTCTTGATAGTGACAAAGTCTTGCTTCTCGACAACGGTTAGTTAGCCCCCTGACTCGAGCCAGAAATGTCTACATTTGTTTCTCCTCCCACTTTAACTCTGTTCATGTTGTAAAACAGGTGATATTGCAGAGTATGACGAACCAGCAAAACTGCTAGAGGACAGCGCATCCTTATTTTCCAAACTCGTATCTGAGTATACCATGGGATCAGATTATAAGTAGCAGTTGCAAGAACTGCAAAATTAATAGTTTAGAGATGATGTTTCGTCATAATTTATTGTGTATTGGGGTTTGGGAATGTGTAATGGAATATTAATTATTTCCTTCCCATGCTTCCTGCGGACAGAACTGCAAAAGACAAGCTCCCCCTAGAAGTGTGAATATCTACTTGCTACAAGTTTGGTAGTCTAATACTGTACATAGAAAGCAAGCTTTCCCAAACTATAAGTCCCTGGGATATAGCTGATCTTCTGTTTCTGCTGTTTGGATTAGCAATAAGCTCGATCTCACCATGCCATGGAGGTACATAGTGCGCGCCTACGCCCCCCAACCCCCACCCCACGTCTTCGGCCCTGCTCCAAGGCTATGGAGGCCTATATATGTGTGTACATTGGCAGAGTGGTAACGAACGTGGCAGATCGATGTTCCGCACCAGGCTTAGATAGATGAACGATGTCAATCACGGATGTTCCTAACATGGAGCCACTCTTCATTTGCTTATTATGAATATGTGCTCTGATTCTACTCCGGATGATGTACTTGGCATTCCGTCGCATCATGTAATTAGTTTGTTACTTGATCATTAGACAGTGAAGCGGATGTTACATGCCAAATTGCTGTGCAAATAAATTAAATGTACTTGGGATAAATTATGCTTTTACGGTGCAAGTGAAATCTTTGTTAGTTAGAGTTAGATATGCATATCGAGAGATCATGACGATGCTTTTGTCCTATCATATGTCAGGCATCAAAGTGTACATAAGGATACTGTAGTAATGTACCGCTTTAGTGTATTTTCATCTCATATACCAAGTATGCCACAACAAGCCTAGATCATATCTTGATTTTTCATCTCATATCAGTCTGTAACCTGGCATTATGGGGATCAGTTATATAGCCAGTGTCTGGATATCCCACTATGGTCATATCTTGATTTTTCTGATAGAATAAGCCTAGATCTTTGGTGCCATAAAGATATTTGTACATATTCTCTTTGACTCCCGCCTAATGGCGTTGTTGGAGCTGCGCTATTTGAGCTAGCAAGTTATCTGCAAATGCAATGTCAGGCCTATTACGATTTGCAAGATACATAAGTGTTTTGATGGCATTAAGATATAGGACTTTAGGTTCAATATCTTTTTATTGTCAACCCAAAGTATGAATGGATCTTGATTCATATCCCACTATGGTCATATCTTTTTATAAGCCTAGATCTTTGGTGCCATAAAGATATTTGTACATATTCTCTTTGACTCCCGCCTAATGGCGTTGTTGGAGCTACGCTATTTGAGCTAGCAAGTTATCTGCAAATGCAATGTCAGGCCTGTTATGATTTGCAAGATACATAAGCGTTTTGATGGCATTAAGATATAGGACTTTAGGTTCAATATCTTTTTATTGTCAACCCAAAGTATGAATGGATCTTGATTCATATTTAGGGATTGAGTAACCATGAGTGTTTTGATGGATATGATTATCCAATATCATTTGGATATTGGTGGGCTGATGGATAAATATTCCCAATGGAATATGGTCAAGTTATAGACTTAAGCGAAATTTGGTTTTACCCAAACTATTCATCTCAAATTTCGTCTATCGATGATTGCATGCTTTGTCATGTGTCTTTTGGAGATAATATAAAATCCAATTGGGATTTCACTATGAACACACATATGCAATCGTCGTGGTTGGAGTAATCCTTCTGTGGAAGCAACTTATTTAGTCAGTTTTACCACAATCAACTTAACTGTTTGAAGTCATGGAGTGACTTAAGTTATACAGAATATATATTGTGATTTGTATTTAGATTCAGAATACGAAGTCCATTAGGGACTAATATGTCTGAATGTTTCCAATTTATTTGATCTGCCAATGATATCAAATATTGGAACGTAATTTCCACACATACCATAGGATATGTAGCATCGTAATTGATGACGGGTCTCTGCGTGAACCCTTGTGCTACAAGTCTCGCTATTTCACCACCTTATGGAATGAAAATCTATTTTGCTTCCGTAGGGAAGACATTGTGTTGTTGAGTGAAAGCAATTCTCTTCTTGGGTTGCATCCTTCCATTGAATCCAGTCCAAGCGTTTTTCACACTCTGCCATGGTTTTAGGATCTGGATCTTTTGGAGGTTGTCTGCAATCGTAGTGAAGAAGTATGTGTGGACACTTTGTAGTATTTTGTATTGATTGATTTTATGGAATCAATATAGTTTCTGAAAATATTATCCTATTTAACTCCGTGTATTTTCCAAAACAATGGAGTTAGAGTGTTCCAATGACCCAGTGCCTGAATTTGTGTACACATTTGTACTGGGCATTTGGATGCTGAGCATCCATAGGCGTTTGGATAGTGAATATGCATAAGGTATCTATCAATTTGATGTTGATTTGCATTTACTATCTTGGAGTATGGATTTCTCTATTTCCGTTGTAGCTTGTAAGAAACTTTATCCTTTGTGACTGTACTTCTCCCCCTCTTATTTTGATTTGGGAGCTGAGTGGTTTTATTTGGTACCTCTACTTGTTCTGGTACATTCCTAGTAGAAATATAGGATTTGATGACACCTTTATGACGAGTAAACGCATCTGGCAGATTATTTACAATATATTGTAAATACAAGATGTTCTGAATAAGAGTTCAGATCTTTGGTACGTGGATATGAGGACAGAGTATGAATGTATGTGACATTATGTTCTTATTCCTGGCATTCTTTGTGGTATTAATCTCCCCCTAATACCGGGAATTTTTCTCAAGATGTTATGAGCATACAGGCAATGAATAAGTCTCTTGTGAGGGACTCAAGGTATTATATGAAAGATAATTATACCTCATATGGATCTCCAATGCCCTTTGATGTATGTGTTAGGGTGGTGATATCGGTACGTGTAGAACGTAACCGATTCGCAGATGGAAAATACTTGGCTAAGGCCAAACTGCGACGTACTAACTGCAACGGAGGGAGCCGTATGATTGCAGTTGGATGAATTTGGTTTAATAATGCGGTGTGTAAAGTCGCATGTCACCAACAAGATGTTGACAAATTACAACTCTATGGTTGGTCATGCAAATGATTGGATTCTCTTGATGAGAGATTCAGCTAGACCATTATGAATGTGCACATATGGTACTTAATGCAGTGGTGCCCAAAGCCAAATAATAATTGAATGCACGTTAAGGAACGACAATCTATGTGAATGGATGTGATCTTGCATTCAGGATAATTTGCTGTAATTTTAATAATTTAAGGAACGAGTTTGGCATAAGTGTGGTGCCTTATGTATAAGGGACATATATGGGACTATTTTGTAGATGCATCAATCAGCATTATATAGTATCTAGATGGTCCATAAAATTACTGAATAGAGCCACATATATGTTCTTGAATGCGTTCAATAAATTGGATGGTGCATTATGAATTTTAAGGTAAGAGGGCTTTAAAATTAAATTCCCTGTGACACATGCGGTGCACACAAATATAAAGATATTGGGAATTGATGCTGTGACAAATAGAATTGTTAATAATTTTTCTCATCATCTAAGGTAGAGTGACCAAGGCAATCATGCCAAGTCTTTATTTCATCAAGGTAGAAAAATTATTTTGTACGTAATATGTGGTACGGGTTTGATGTATGTATAGTACAATCCAGATGGTATGTAGGGAAGCTTGCTAGATCTGTTGTTTTTCGGTAAGAGGAGATATTCCTCTTTGTTGTCATCATGGGTTTCGATATAGAAACCATGTTGACAAATATCTCCATAATTGAGTAGGGTACGACTTGAATCGGGATACAATTGTGCATCATCGATTGTGATTTGAGTACTCATAGGGAGAGTGATTATGGCGTAACCAGAGCTAACAATCATAGTATCGTGTCCGGTGATTGTCATAATATTTCCTTGTCTCTTAATAAGAATTTAGAAATATTTTGTTTCCCTAAATAGAGAATTTGTGGTGCAACTGTCCACAAGGCATATTTCCTCTATCGGATTGACTCCCGTAGAAATCTATATATAAAAATGAAGAATTTAAAGTGAAATTCTTCATATATATATATATATATATATATTGTAGCCACTTTGAGTTACGATAATTACTATGTTAATTTACGATATTATAGTAACTCTTTATTAAGGGGGTGTTTGGTTGCACATACTAAATTTTAGTCTATGTCACATCGGACGTTCAGATGCTAATTAAGAGGACTAAACATGAGTTAATTATAAAACTAATTACACAAATGGAGACTAACTTACGAGATAAATTTATTAAGCCTAATTAATCCGTCATTAGCACATATTTAATGTAGCATCACATTGTCAAATCATGGACTAATTAGGCTTAAAAAATTCATCTCGTAAATTAGTCGCAATCTGTGTAATTAATTATTTTTTTATATATTTAATACTCCAAATTAGTGTTAAATATCCAATGTGACAGGGACTAAAATTTAGTCCAGGGAACCAAACACCCCCTAAGTGGTTTACTGTAACGTTATGGTAAATATCCCCATGTGTTATAGTAACCCAACTATCGTAAATATATATTGACATTATCATAAATTAGTATATAAAATTATCGTAAATGGAGGTGGCTACAGAATAACTTATTTTGTAGCTGGCTACTGAATATACTTATATATATTTAGAGAGAGAGAGAGAGAGAGAGAATACATATAACTTTATTTAGTATCAATGTGCTGATACATTATTGAAATATACAATACAGTATAAGATGACAATAACTTATTACAACACTATGTAGGACATAGATATAATAATATCTAATTAATTGGGAGACTAATTAAAGTCTCCAAACAAGTCGTGAGAAGAAAATTCCACGATCATGTTGTCGAAGCTCTCGGGGTCCTCTTGCTGCTGCAGAGTGATATCGTTGTCCGGTTCTGGAGGAACGCTTTGGGAACAACTGGCCTGTCCAAGATTGAAGTGCGCTTCATATCTTTCGCCTTGAGCTGGTCGACTACGTCCAATGGACT